GCAATGGATGGAGATAGAGACAGAGACCCACATCGGAGCATTTGGACTGAGCTCCCAAAGTCCAGTTGAAGAGCAGAAGGAGGGAGAAGTTGAGCAAGGAAGTCAGGACCGCAAGGGGTTGGTCCACCCACTGTGACAGTGTGACTTGTCTAGTGGGAGCTCACCCGATCCAGCTGGACTGGGACTGAACGAGCATGTGATCAAACCAAACTCTCTGAATGTGGCTGACAATGGGGGCTGACTGAGAAGCCATTGATAATGGCACTGGGACTTGTTTCTACTGCATGTACTGGCTTTTTGGGAGCCTAGTCTGTTTGGATGCACACATTCCTAGGCCTGGATGGAGCGGAAGAGGGCCTTGGGCTTCCCACAGGGCAGGGTACCCTGCCCTCTCTTAAGACTGGAGGGGGAGGGAGGAGGGCAAGTGGGGGAGCTGGAGGGGAATGGGAGGAGGGGAGGAAGTGGAAATTTTTGAATGGAAAAATAAATTTTAAAAGTAAATAAAAAAGAAATCACCCTCCTGCTATTTCTAATAGGCTAAAAATGACCACATACAAAAGCAAACACTTCTAGTATAACCTTGGTATAACTTTAAAACATATTTATTTTTATTTATTTTGTGGTAAGAAAGCTGTTTTAATTTTTATAGAAAACAACTGGAAAGAAAATAAGTGACTTACAAGATGCTCTGCCTCAGACACCTAATTTCTTGTGCAACTCTGATAATCCATATGGAAAGTTTTACAAATCAAAACAAAGGTTAACTCCACAGCTATGTGGTTAGACATTTATCTTGCAGAGAGCATCTGAGATGTCTGAGACCAGCAACCATAATACTGGATACAATAGTGAACATTTTGAAATAATCGTAGAAATAAAAATCCTTAGAATTCTCTTGGTAAATCTGGCACAGCCACAGAAGGAGAGATTGTTCAGCTATCAAAATTATTAATTGAAGGATTGTAGGAGCTAGAAGGGTCAAGGACACCACAAGAAAACCCGCAGAATCAACTAACCTGGGCTCATAAGGGCTCACAGAGACTGAACCAACAACCAGGAAGCCTACATGGGGCAGACTTAGACACTCTGTATATATGTTACAGTTGTGTAGCTTGGTCCTATAGTGAAACTCCTAACAATGGGTGCAGGGCCTAACTCTGACTCTTTTACTGACTTTCGGGACCATACGCCTCACACTGGTTTGCCTTGCTCAGCAATAAAGAAGGAAGTGCTCAGTCTTACTGCAACCTGATATGCCATGTTTTGTTGATATCAAGGAGACCTGCCCTATTCTGGATGGAGATGGAGAAGGAAAGGAATGGGGGTAGGAACAGAAGGGGGATGTTGGAGGGGCTGGGAAAGGAGGCTATGGCTAGGATGTAAAATAAATAGATGGATAAATTTATTTAAAAATTATTGATAGAATATGTAAACAAAAGTATTTTTAATATATTAGTGAGGGGGAAATCAAGTCATAAAGCTTTAATTTTTTTTGAGACAAGGTCTCATTGTGTATCCCTGACTGGCCTGGAATTCACTATATAGTCAAGATTGGCCTTGGTGTATCAGTCTTGCTTCCTTTTTCAAAATTCCTACTTGATTTAAAAAGAAAAAGAGACAAGAGTTATAGCTGAGTAGCAGAGCACTTGATAGCATGCACAAGGGCTGTTGGTTTTCTCTCTGGACTGGGAGAAGAGAAGAAAAAGAAGAAAGAATAGACAAGAATTTGAACCCAGACAAACAGAAAATATATGAACTTAATTTTGGAGAGTGTTGTATCTGAATAGTGGAATTATTGATAACTGTCCCTTTCCTGTTTAACCTTATACTATATTTTTTCTAGATGAATGTATATTGCCTTTGAATTTAAAGATAGCATGAAGATCCAATCCATATTTAGTCTCCCTGTCCTATTTCTGTAACACGACTTCAAACATTTTAGCATATTTTTCCACACATAAGTGGAGCGTCTATGTGTATTTTGATGTTCCATATGGATATTCAAAATAATCCTGACTTCTAGGACTGATCCCATTCAGGCAGATCAGGTTCTTTCTGCGTGCACATGGCCACAGCCCTGACCCTTCTGGAGTGTGTGCTAGGATACAGTTGGAAAGGTGGGAAGATGCTTCCCCTAGTTCCTCAAAGCCCAGAGCTTATGGCTGACATTCTCCCACCAGAGAGCCATCCCTCAGGCTTATGGATTTTTACCCCATTAAAATGCAAATAACCAGGGAGAAGTATACATTAAACTTTACCTGTCACCTGTGCTAAGTGAGTGTAACGTATCATTTTCTGGGAATAGGTTTTAATGGAGAAGACATGGGAATTTAAGGGGGGGGGCAGAGAGAAGAAAGTATGAATGAATATACATGGTATCTGAGGATTAATTAATATTCATAATAGTGATGTTTTTATTTATAGTTTATGAGTCACTAAGGAACATGTTATCACATTTAATTTTAATTAAATTAAATAGTCTAACTGTTGCCAAGACAATCTACAGTCTTCAAATTTTTTCTAGCGGCATTGCTAAAAGCTGTTGTCATACTCATGAAGAAATACCCATTTAACTTTTCCCCTTTAACTTCGAATCATAGTCATGGGTGATATTAAAAGACTGTCCAAATAACCACCGAGGGAAGAACAAGTGAAGAAAATATGATTATTTCTTACTTAATCCATTATTAATGCATATAAAAACAACACTAACATTTTCTAGGAATTTTTGTTTTTAAAGGTAATGACCTACTGGAAAAAAAAAGAGAAAATATCTACTCTTATACATTAGAATATTTTTGAGCATGGATCTTTCATTCACCACTGGAGAATAGAAAAGATAGGAAGGGACAAAAAGTAGCAATCAGAGAATGGATGGAGACTGGGAGGTGGGTTCCGTGGAAGAAGCATGTGCTGCGCAAGCATGAGGGCCCAACCTCAGATTTCAAGCAGCTACTTAAGAGCTGGGAATAGTGGTGTCTCTGTAACCTCGGTGCTATATAGGGAGAAACAGGGGTATCTCCAGAACTAGCTAGTTAGTCACTTTATATGGATTGGCAAATTTAAGGATCAGTGAGAAATCCTGTCTCCAAAATAAAGGGGGGCGCAGTAGAGAAAGTCATCCAGTATCGACTTCTGGTCTCCACATGCATGTGTATATACACTACATCCATACCTGCATGCACATGTGTACATGACCACATTCAGAATTACATATACGATACAGGCACAGACAGACAGACAGACAGACAAACACACACACACACACACACACACACACACACACACACACACACATCAGTTGTTTGAAGGGAGACCCTGCAGAATAACTTCCTTCTTACACATACATTAAGTAAAGTTTCAGTGTAATGGTTAAAAACAGACTCTGTAACCATTTTCTTAAGTTTGAATTCTGACTTGCATCAATACACGAGTTGTGTAAAAACAGATTTCTTAATTTCATTGCCAATAAAAGGAGTATAATTTCCTCATCATTAAGATGACTTTAATACTGGAACCATCTCATGGACATTCTAGAAGAATGAAATCAATTAAATATATAAAATTACATATCACAAAATAATTGCATTAAGTGATGTTAAAACCACCTACGTAATTTCATAGGACCAAAAATGTACTAATCATATGGAGTAGAACTGTGAAGTAATCAAATACACACACACACACACACACACACCACACTTGTTTCTATGGAAATATATTATAGGTATGTATATATAACTTACAAATTACAAAGCAAATACATATATATATATAATACATTGCCATAGAAACAATATAATCATACAGCTATTAAAACTTAACAAAACTAATTAGAGGAAAACAGGTGGTTGCCAATTACATATGCATTGTTATACTAATAGAATGTTCCAGTAAAACTTTCTGTAAACTAAACTGTCTTTATTAGAATTAATTACAAAACATGTAAATTTTATTAATAACATTATGAAATTGACTAAAAAATTCAATGAACAAATTATGAAAACTTGTAAAGAGAAGGAATAGTAAAACTGCAGGCTAAAGTGAAGCGAGGACAATTAGGGAAAGGCAACAATTGGGGGTGAAGGAATTTAATGACTGTCGTTAAGAAATACAGTGGAATGTTGTGTCACATATCTGTAATTCCAGCACTTCAGGAACTGAGGCAAAATGATAGTGAGTATGAGGTTGGTTTCAGGCACATAATGAAACCTTCCCTCACAAAAGCAAAGGCTAGGAATTTAGTTTAGTTGTACAACACTTGCTTAGCATTAACAAGGCACTGAACTTCATCTTGAGCACAGAAAAAAAATTAGACTTTTATAGAAAATATAAAAGTCTATTTTTTTCTATAAAAGTCTAATTTTTTCTGTGCTCAAGGTTTCGTCAAGTAAATAGATATTTGTAGCATAATTTGAAATTCATGTCACTATTCAACAATTCTTTGGTCTTGATACATTATAAATATACATCTTATGGGGTAGAGTATAATAATTCAACAATGTATATATTGTCGTCTTATCAAACCAGAATGAATAGACTTTCCTTCTCCTATTATGTCCTTCTCATGAAAGCTTTATAATTTCCAATGCTGGGGATCTTTGACTTCCTTTCTTCTAGTGTCTTATAAAATATATAATAAACAGATGAAAACTGTACTCACATAAAACATGCAACAAAAAAATTAGACTTATAATAACATGTATTGAGTGATGTTATGAGTATATACTCATAATGATCAGCTTTGCAAAGTAAGTTGATACAGGTAATGATATTCAAAGTATTGAAGAAGTCAGTACCGGAGAACACACTATAGAAACAGTTGTTTTAGCTGAGGAGTAGAGACAATGATCTAACTAGGCTGCGTATTCCACCAAGTTACACGTCAGAATGAAATAGACCTCTATTGTATAGAAATGTCTGTTAATTCAACCCCTCCTAACATTGAGCGACCAAGACACAATGAGCAGGTTAATCAGTAAACAATGAAAATGACTTACTGGAAAGGAAGTGCTGGGATGCGGGGCCAAAGTCCCTGTGGGCTTCATGCAGCTGCCTGACCCGATCCTCCACAGCCACCTGGGAGGAAAAGAATAGAAATGATATTTTCTCATATCCTTTAGTGAGCAATATTTAAAAGACTGTCCCTTTATGGTAAGATGTTTTCTGTCTGTAAGGCTAAGAACAGCAAAACAACAATTAATAACTATGGTTTTAATATGTTCTTAACTGTAAATGGTCTCCAAGACTCATTTTTATCAAACCAAGTTCAAACACAAAAAAATTTACTCTATTTTGACAGTTTTACAATCAGATATTTTATGCTCCCTTTATTGGAAATCCCAAATAAAATGCACATTATAATTTATTTTACAAAGTTCTGAGAAAATTGTCACAAGCAAGATATAGTGAGTGCTCATAGGATCTTGTAAAGGTATATTTGGTTTTGAGTCTTAGTTGATTATTTTTGACTAACGCTAAATTAATTTTAATAGATTATTGCTAGTTGTAGAATGATAATTCTTACCAGGGAACAAGCAAATGTTGAGGACAATTAGCCTGACACTGATATCACACACCTGAAATTGTAGCACTTGAGAGGCAGGATAATCATACATTAAAGCTATTTAGAGCTACATTGTGTGGCCCTGCCACAACTCAATGAATGAGAACAGAGCAAATGGAAACAAAAAGTACACTAACAAGAATTAAGCTAAAAAAGCATGAATTGGAAAGATAGTTCAGTCAACAGAGGACTTGAAGTCAAAAGTCCAAGTACTTGAGCTTTATGATTTCTGGAATCCAAGTCAGTGGTTCTCAACTTTCCTAATGCTGCGACCCTTTAGTACAGTTCTTCCTGTTGTGGTGACCCCAACCATAAAATTATTTGAGGTGGGTCTTGTATCTTATCTGTTGCTTTCATTGGTTAACTAATAAAGAAAACTGCTTGGCCTGATAGGACAGAAAATTAGGTAGGCGGAGTAGACAAAACAGAATGCTGGGAGAAAGAACCAAACCAGAGAGTCGCCATGATTCTCCCACTAAGGACAGACGCAGGTTAAGATCTTTCCTGGTAAGCCACCTTGTGGACTACACAGATTATTAAAAATGGGTTAGATCAATATGTAAGAGATAGCCAATAAGAGGCTGAAACTAATGGGCCAGGCAATGTTTAAAAGAAAAAAACTGTGTAAAGGGTCATTAGACTTCCAAAGGGGTCTTGACCCACAGGTTGAAAACCACTGACCTAATTAAAGGTACTGGTACATGCTTATAATGCTAGTGCTTGGGAGGAGGAGACAGGAGCACTCCCAGGTTTTTCTGACTAGTCAATGTGTCTAATGGATTTTTCTAGACCAATGAGAAACACTGTCTCAGAGAAGGTGTATGGTGTTCATGCTTCTGACACCTGAGGTTGTTTTCAGGTTCCCACATAAATACACACATGTATGCACATGCGCCTACACACACATTCATGTAAAATCACACACATGTGCACACACACACAATACAAAGGCAGAGACAAGGTTTAATTTGTGGTAACATGGGGTAAGAAATGAGATGAAAGAAATTTTTAGAGTTCAGTTTTCATCGCATTTGGAAATTAATAAGAACTATGCCCCAGGCAGTATGGAATCAACCTTGTCATTCTTTTTTCCTATTAGACTTTTCTGTAATGCATTTACACACTGTCCTGTTTAAGCTTACTGAATTTCATTCTTTGCAGGAAAAGGGGGAGACCTTTTGGAAGGTGTGAAATGATATACTTTGTCATCTGGCTTTTCACCAACTCAGTATTAGTGGTGGCCCCAGGCATTCTCCTCAATAACTTTGGATCTTAGTTTGCTTGTCAACAGCCCATGCTAAACAAGAAAATGTTCAGAGATTGCCCACAGGCACCAGAATTTAGGTTCCTGTGCTGTGGAGAATCATCTATAAATAAGGCAGTTCTCAATCTCATCAAGTAGTCTAAACTAATGTCAACCCTGACTTTCCAATATCAATGAAATACCTAATGTATATCTAGAAATTTTTCTCTTACTTTTTCTCTTGCTTTGTCTGTCTTTGGTTGGGATTCACTAAGCAGAGTTTCAAGATGATGCAGGATTCCCCTTACTATTATACACAGGGAGACCCTAGAAACATTTCAGATTTGTTCTTCCAATCATACTCTATCTGCTGAGACCACCAAACATCCATCTGTCCTGCAATATTCCATATATATCCAGAATGCCCTAACCACCTTCTCTTCCACTGATAGTATAATAGGGTTTATATGCTTTATTTTTTATCTCCAAGGTGAGAATTAATTGCTTCCACAGCATGCTCATAGCACATGGTTTATAATGAGACATTTGAATAATATCATTCAGTAATATAAGGAAATGAGTGTCTCCTAAAATAGAACATGAGCCTCTTCGTGGTAGGGGCTTCTCCTTGCATGTGTGTATCTCCACTCCTCCCTTCGTATGACTCCCTGAACCCTGTACAGAGGAGGTGATAGCAAATATTTGTTTAATGACTAATTGACAAGATAAATGGATACTATTTCTGTATGTAATCTCTCTCTCTCTCTCTCTCTCTCTCTCTCTCTCTCTCTCTCTCTCTAGAAATTTGCAAGAGGCAGAGGGAGAGAAAACAAAAAAGAGTATCAACCAAATCATCAATGCTGATTGTATATCTGTGGTAGTCAGTTTATGTAAAATATCATCGTTCCCAGAGCAGACATTATTTCTGAATGTATCTGTGAAGGTATTTTTAAAAATTATTTTAAAAAATGAAATTGGTATTGAATGTGTAGTTTCTGCAAAGTAGATTGCCTTCTTCAAGATGGGTATGCTTTATGCAAATCAGCTGGAGCCCTGAAACAATAAAGGTAGCCTATTTTCTGTCATGGTCATCTACTTTAGCTGCCCTGGGATGGACATTTACTATTTTGTCTTTGGAATTGGAGCCACTCTCTACCACCAACTGTTCTGGGTCTCTAGCATACTGACACAAGATCACGGAACTTTTTAGCCAACAGTCTCATAAGACCTTCCAAGCAAATCTATCTATCTATCTATCTATCTATCTATCTATCTATCTATCTACTTACCTACCTATCTGTCTATCTGATCTGCTCTCTCTCTCTCTCTTCCTCCCTTCCTCCCACTTCTCCCATCTATCATCCATCTCTCTTCCCCTCCTACTAGGGTACTAGGGTATTCTGACTAGTATAATGTCTCTGTAGATTTTGCTATTATGGTTAATAAATGGAGAGAGATAAGGTATAACGAGCAGGGTATCATATACCAAAGAAAATGGCTAACATTTATTTAACACTATGTATATAGAAATACAAGTTGAAATTTAATGTTTACAATAATTCTATAACAATTAATATTACTCCTTAATTCTATCAATATAATAACTGAGACATGTAGGTTTAAAAAAAGAAACTTGCTCGGGCCAGGTAGGCTGGTGTATCCTATAATATTTGCCAACAAATGGCCAAAGTAGAAAGATTGCAAGCTCATAGCCAACCTGAACTACATAAAAAGCTTAAAGCTAACCTACGCTACAAAGCAGGCACCTGTCAAAGCAAAACAAACAAAATAACCAACAAACAACTTATTACTGAAGTTTAATAAGCTGGGGAATTAGCAGTGAGAATATTTAAACTTCTTCAGTCTGCTCTTTTATCATTATTATTATTATTAATTATTATCATTGATTTTTATTGAGCTTTACATTTTCTCTCCTCCCCTCCCTGCAGTCTGCTCCCAATAGCCTTGTAGAAGATTAAAATAGAACATGGTAAATATTTGGAAAGGAGTAACTTTTAAATTTCTATTTCAGTGTGTGTGTGTGTGTGTGTGTGTGTGTGTTTACGCCATGCTATGGAATGAGTCCAGTGCCTTTACATTCTAAGGAAGTGCTTTACATAGAGATAAGTCACATTCCATAAATGTCTTCATGTTTTTATCAATTAATTTATCATATTGAAACCAAATCAAGTGTGCACCTCTACAAAACTTTAGCCATCCGTGCATTTTACGATCCAATACAAGGCCTCTTCTTAGTCTTTAAGACTATGCTATCATAAGCTTTCAGAAAAAGGCTATGGAAGAACACACATAAATGCATGATGAAATATATAATTATTTAGAAATTTAGAATGTATCATTTCATGAACAAATGAATCAGGAGATGAATGTGAAAGTTGGGAAATAGAAAGGGGAAGAATGGTCAATGGTCAGACTTTTTTTTTCATACTGTTTAAGAAATCCTCATGAGAAAATGGGGGTGAGTCATGAGTGTGCCACAAGCCAAGTCTCTTAACAACAACGGTGGTCACTTCATGGGGACCACTTAGATGTAGCACCTGAGTCAATTACAGTCCCTTAATTTCTAAAAGCTATGGCTAAAAATTTGTCATACAAGGAGAACAATGCTAATTTTCAGTGGACACCCAGGATTGTCAAGACTTGAAAATAAGATCAAAGGGAATTTCTCTCCCTATGGCTCAAACTTAATGAAAACATACGAGGAGTCTCAAATTAAAAATGTATCCTATACTGAAATTAAATCTTCAGGAAACATTCCTAAAACAACTGAGAATTAAGCATTGTTTTTTTTTTAACTTTACAAATTGTCACAGGAGAAAGGTTTCCTGTAGACTGAGTGTAAATTGACTAAATGAATAATTGTGAGAAAGAAAAATATGAAAGTAACCAAGGTTTTCACAGGCTATCATTCCTTACCAACAAAGCTATTCATTCTGGGAGCAATTATTTATGGAAAACAAATTTGATAAGCTTTTAAAACAACAGTGCAAACACATCAGACCTTTTGAACTGGCTGCGTTTTTAATCAACATGAGATAATATGTAAGCCAGAAAGTCAGAAACAGAAACTAGATACCAGTACTTTGCATTCCGGCAATTGTAATTATTCTTTTTGTTATTTGTTCATTTTATGTATATTTGTTAATATTAAAAAGTAGGCATTCATTAAACATTGGCTGTTGTTTCTGCTTTTTCAATGCTTAACTGGATGGCAAGTGAGAAATGGTGATAAACTCTCTGCTGTGGCTA